AACTCCAGAAACGTGTGTCCCGAGCATGGCGGCCATGACGAGCTCCAGAGCAGCACCGCGTGCACCACAGACACCGCCGCCGCCGCCGCCGCGTGCCTCGCCACCGACCGCAGCACCCTCACCGCCTTGTCCGTGGCCACCGCCTTCCACCACCAGTCGGCGGCTCGGCGCCCTCCGCGTATTTCGCACCGGCGGTCCAGGTAGCCGGCAGACGAAGCTTCGCCGCTGCGCAGCTCCGCTCCATCGTCCGAAGTGCATGTCGACGAAGCACGGGCACCGCGCCGGCGCCCACCGCTTTGACGCGTTGCGCTATGCCCCACGCCATTGTCGCGACGAAAACACGCAGTGCGCCGCTTGGTCGCAGAACATGGAGACCGGCTTTGCCGCGGAGAGCGACTCCACGGCCTCCTCGAACGCTGCTCGCTTCCAACACCACTTTTGCCGGTGCTAAGCGCGGCATGGCGGCCGTGGACGCGCTTCCAGAGGCGAAGCCGCTGGCTCGCTTCTCGCAGCATCTCCGCGCGGCGCGCACGCCGTGTCCCGCGACGCCGGATCGCATCGTCGTGGCCAACGCCATCATCTTTGGGCATGTCCTTCACTTCAACAAAGATCGTGGCGCCGCCAACTTCCTCTGGCGTGGGCATGCTCCGGCACCCCCGCTGCCGGCGGAGCAAGGTGAGCATGCGCGCCGCTGCGATGGGAAGCGGCAGGAGCAGGAACGTCAGCGAGAAGGTCGAGACGAAGCTCGACGCGAAGGACGCCAGCGGGTCCATCGGCGTTCGGAGCTGCTACATGCGCTGTTGCGTCTCCATTGCTATGGGAGCGGGGAAGAGAGAGACGCCACGCGCGCCGTCGCTGAGTTCCACGAGCACGCCGCGCGCGCACCAGGAGGGAGGGCCTCGCTGCCCCAGTGCTTCCATGGGCTGCGTGCTGCTATATATGGGCACGCCACGTCATGTCGTGCCCTGCGGGCCATGCCTCTTAGGCACGCGGGCCTGGACTTCGGCCCAGGCATGGCCTGCTGGGCCGTTTTTCGGGCCGGGCCGGCCCGTCATGCACAGCCAGTGTCGGGCTGGCCCGGGGCCCACGAGGCGGTGCGCGAGCAGCCAAAGAGAGGCCAAGGGGGAAGCCGGGATGGGGAGGAAGCACGAGCAGCCGGAGATGGCAGTGGACGGCGGCGAGCTAGCCCTCCCTTGACACCGGATCTGGCATTGGGGCGAGCTTCGGGCCGGCCTTCGATCGACCAGCGTCGCTGACGAGAGGAAGGGGCATCAGCGTCCGCTGCTCGGCCGTCGGCGCCATGAGTGAGGAGGTCGCCGACGAGGAGATAGGAGAGCCGGAGAGGGAGGAGACGCTCGGCTCGGCTGTCGTGCGGCGCGAGGGAAGGGGAGGGGGCGTCCCGCGTTCACTGGCCTTTCGCCTTCGCTGCCCTCACCCGATCGAGGAAGGAGGGGCCGTGGTGCAAAGGAACCAATGCGGCGTGGGGAGGGGGCTGTGCGTGCGTCGTGCACGGGGGGTTGGGAAGGGAGTTAGGGTTCGGGGTGGGGCGTGGGGATGGGAAGGGAGTTAGCAGGTCGGGCCACCACCGGACCATGCTCTTTGGACCAGGCGTCTGCGTCTTGTCGCTTCGTCTGTGCTAAAGGTAAGGCCGAACCGCGACTTCTTCTTGCCGCCGGTCGTGCCGGCCCAAGCCAGATTGGCCAAAAGAAAGGGCCTCGTAAATGGCCGGACGGGCTCGGCCGCATGCCCATCTATCGTCTTGCACATCATCGTGTGGGCGCTCATCATCGCTCGTCACGCGTGCACGGATCATGCGGCAATGCGCTGCGCAGGCCCACCACATGGCAACCGTGCCACCGCATGTCGCGTCCCCACAGCGGCACCTCTCCTTGCCTACAAGTACCAAGGAGGGCAAGTGCAAGGACTAGAGTGAGTAAGAGAAAAGGGTCAGCTTTTTTGTGAAAAGTTGGCCACGCCGGATGTTGGCGCTGGCGTGGCGGACTTTGGACCTTTGGTACGCGGTCGTAGTAGATCAAGGACCTAGATACCGCTTTTTTAGTTTGAGAACCCAGATAGAAATGACACAAGTTTAAGAACCTAGCGTGCATTTTACTCTCTAAATTATAAGACGTTCTGATTTTTCTAGATATGAATTCTGATTTTTCTAGAGTACAATTATGTATCTAAACAAGCTATTGTACCTAAAAAACCAAAACGGCTTATAACTTAAAATAGAGAGAATATTTAATATGTAATGGTTCTAGCTTGTCGTCTCCTCAAGTCTTTATACACTGCAAAAATTATAACTAACTACTACTAGTAGACAGCGGCACACGTGTCTAAAAAGACATTCATATTGTGTGAATATAACAATCAAATGTTGGATAAGTTATCAATTCTTATTTCATAAGACAAATGTTCTTAATCTGGATCAACAACATATAACCACAAATCATTTCTTATAATGATTCACACTCATTCATTACTTTAACCAATGATTATTTATATATGATATGATAGAATGTACTCTCTCTATTTCAATTTATAAGACGTTTTAGCTTTTCTAGATACATTACTTTTACTATGTATCTAGACATAGTGTATATCTAAAATGTATAGGAAAAACTAAACGTCTTTATAATTTGAAATGTAGGGAGTAGTTCTGAGTCCAACTCTGATACATACATTACAGAAAGAAGCATAAGGTCTTGATGACGAGAAACATCGATGCACATAGAAATCAGACCCCTTAATATGATATAGACATTTTTCTCACTAATGGATCCACCATACTTGTCAGGTAGTTTGAATACCATTTACCTTTTGCTATTCGTTTGACCATAGATGTACCTTAACCTGCCAAAACCAATTTATTTCAGTTACCACGTATGTCTTTGCTATAAATCACTCAATAATCTCATAAAAGAATATAACATCTAATTCAGTTCTAAAGGTACTCAGTACTGACATTTAAGTGTAAACTTCTACTACATATACCTTGTCCATAATTAATGAAAATTCCATTACCCTATTAACTGAATGTGGTGCACTATCTCAGATGATTTATCAACACCTCTGGATTCTAATAATAGCATAACTACCTGCTGAAACCCCAATGCCTACACAAGCTTGATGTAAGTAGAACTATGTTGTTACTACTACAAAATGCACTTTCAGAGGCACATATTTTCCATTAGCAGAGGCAGGTGTCTTCCATTAACAGAGGCAGGCGACTCGAGCGACTCTATGAAATGGTCTTTTTATTTCCAGAGGCGGTCGGGCAGGCCGCTTCGTTAATAGAGCCGAACGATTTAAGGCAGCCGCTGGCCGAAGGTTGCCGCCTCTATTAATAATTTCCAAATTAAAAAAATTGCCCATTCTTTTTTATTTTGTTTTTGTGCTTGTATTTGTAAGATCGATTGGATTTCTTCCGCATCTATCAGATGCTCTCCTGGAGCTGGCAGAAAGATATCTGATTGCGAGGAAAAACATGCCTGTACAGATGTGCCTGCTCCATCCTTTACAGTGAGATGTCTCATGACGGGGTTGCTGCTTCTCCCTCGACTGTCACGTTTCCAGACGCCGACGCCTGACCTTGGGGAGGATCGTTGTCGCACTCCAGCTGCATGGGAGGCAGTGGCGGCGATGCAGTAGTAAGGACGATGTCGTACCTATTCCAAAGTATTAAGTTGTCTTTGGCATCTCCCAAGTACCGGATGCCTTCCTTGGTGGGCAAGTCGATCTCAAGCCTCTGGTGATTAGGATGGACATCGACCACCAAGACCTTGGCGTAGTCGATCGGGATGGGTTGGCACTGAAACGTGCGGCCCGGGATTGCCATGCCTGTGGCCACCGCCATCATCCGCTTCTTCCTGCCGACCGGGATATGCAATGAGCACGGCGTACATGAGACGATATCATCAGCTGGTTGGTTCACAGTCGACGCTTGAGCTGCTAGGAACTGACAGGCCTTGGTCCGGTTGCGTTTCGTTGCATTAGTTCCATCGAGCTAACCTTGCCCAAAAACTGTGACCTCAGTTGCACCATCTTAGGGTCACCACTTGTCAGAACGTTACGGATCTCTTCCATCACAATTTCCCTCATTGTTTCCTCACTGGTTTCCTGGATCAACTTTTCCTTGTAACCCTGTTGCGTCCCCACAGGAGCCCGTGTCGATGGCCCAGGCGTCTTTCCAGCTCATTCTCGAGGACATGCCTCGGACGCGCCACACGATGCTCGGGGTTGCCCAACGCGACCGACAGCTGATCTTTTTCCCTATGTGGAGTAAATGTTCCAGCTTGCTCGGCCGCAACAAATGCTAGAATCTTTTTCTCCGCTTCCTCAGTCTGTGGCTCATTGAATTTACTCTTCCCCTGCGCTGTAGCTTTGGCCTCACGGGCTTTGAGGAAGTCCCTTGTCCTCTCGTTCAGTCCCTCATACTCTATAGGCTTGCTGGCCACAGCTGCCTCCTTTCTTCCCTCCGCCATTTCTTTTTCTTCACCACATACCCTGTACTGCCAAGGTGGTGGGGGTAGAGATTCCTCTTTGCTAGCAAGGAGAACTTCTCACTCTTGTCCATAGCATCTTCACGTGTGTGATATCGGACAAACTGGTCCCACCTTTCCTGTGTGATAAACCCGTATTCTTTAAAAGGCATCTCCCCCTTCTTAACATACTTCTGGTTAAGCTTCCACCTGAACTGGCGCAGGGCTTTTGCACAGGTACTCAGTGCATAGCTCCTGTTGAGCTCTTCATTGGTGTCCAGTGGGTATGTGAATCTCCTCTTAATCTCTTCCCATAGCGAATTCTTAAGTAAAACATCAACCTTCTTCCATTCGTCTATGTTGAAGTCCACCCTTTCCCTGACCAACACTCCGTAAGCATTACTAAACTTGGAAATCACTGAGACTGGCTCTCAGGGGCTCCCCTTTTTGCCGACCTCGTGTATTGCAAACACCTTGGTAGGTAGCTGGTGTCTGCCGTGCTGGCCTCGTTTCCTCTTAGACTTCTCTGAGGACGCTTGTAGGCATCAGCTTAGGTACAGAGGTTCCCTCTACCTCGTTGAATTCCAATAGACAGGGTCTTAGTGGGATCTAGCGAGGATAAGAACATTAATTAGAAGGCGACAAATCAAATAACTTGACCTAATAAGAACATTAAATCTTATTGGCTAAGCCCATGAGGATTGAATCGGACCTAAACTTGCACTACCATACCTCGTTACTTTGGTGTTCTTCATCATCCTTAGGATTGAAATCTGCTCCCTCTCCATGAGGTTTCTTCTTCAGCCTCGAGGTAAGTTCCTCCTCACCACTCTCATACTCGGTTTCACAACCCTCACTTGCACTAGGGCTCGGTGTAATAAATTTGTCGAACGGGGTTGAAGGTTGTTCTTCCCCACCTTGAGTGTTCAGTTGCTTCTCCATCTGATGCTGCGATAACAGAAATAGAGTCCTAACTTTGTCAAAGATTTCTCACAAATGTTTCATGCCACATATATCCAGAGTATAACAAGAATTTTTTCAAAATTATATTTAGACGTTGCAAAGTTAATTACATATACATAGAATTCTCATACATGGTGTGGCTCAATTTTTCTCAACTAATCTCATAAATATGTGATGTTTCTCAGTTTTTCTATACATCTAATCCCATAACTACAATAGAGAAGCAAAAAAAAATCTATGTATATGGAACTCTCACCTCGATCTGGTTTCCAGAGACGACACCCTGACTTGTTGACCTACAATAGAGATATCACAAGGCATTTGCATAAGAAAAAATATCTCAAAAGTTGCCATTTGCATAATTTAATACATATATGGTTTGCACAATGTGTGAAGCAGGGATAAACAAGAAGAAACAATGCGAGTTGGAAGCACAAAAGTTGAAAAAAAGACAGCAAAAATGTATATTTGAACATGAGGAGCCCCATTCTGCAGCCTATAAAGAATCCAAAAAGGTATTCTCTACATGATAATAAGAAATGAGCTGCTGTGTACAAAGAATGGGCACAGAATTGTTGTTATACACGTCAAGTAGATAGATGACCAATTGTTTCACCAAATCAAAATGCTTACAATAAAATTGAAGAGATTGATTTATCCTGTACAAATCAAGAGATGGACAAAAGAAGGGGAACAAAGCACTACCACTGCAGTATTTGCAGCAGAAACAAGTTTTGATTACTTCATTTACAATCAAACATATCATGACAATTCTAGATATTAAAAGGGATCGGCCATCTATGACAAACAGCTCTCGTTTTTTCCCCAAAAAGAATGCCCTCGTTTGTGCTCCATCATTAAAGGCTTACAAGTTTGTGCACCCACATTAACAGAGGAGTTTCGCAGGAATGCGAGGATAAGGAGTTAAGGACTTGTCATCAACGAGCTGCGACGAACCAGAACAGATACACGTCATTCTATCATTTGCGAGTCACCCATCAACTGCCCATGGCTGAAAATTCAGAGTTGCCTCACGCCAACACATCAGCAAATGTGAGCAAAAGTCCACTTGGAGATAAACTCTAGCAAAACCGTGAGACGACGACCAGTATTTCTAGTCTAGTCTGCTACAGTGTGGGATAAGAATAACAGAATAAGAGTGACAGAGAAAGAAGCACCAACTGCATCAGTTAGATATGACAAAAAAGTTCTCCACTGACATTTCCTTTTCGTATCTGATAACCGTCCAGAGTGTTTAGTGTAATAAACGTAGTCGATAACCATAAGCACCAATTGCACTCAAGCATGTCCCTTCACCCTTGTAAATTTGTATTCTAACTCATTTCCGTCCATTTATTTGTGCTGATTACTTTTCTCGAGACATGATACTAGCACCGACAGTATGCACTCCAATGTACTCCAACTCATTTCTCATAACGTTTATGACATATTTTAAGAATTTTGACTTTAATGTTATGACTTCATATAAAAATTATAAATAGTTTCAAGTTATAATACTTTCTTTCTTCAAGACTACAACAGAGATACTAGTCTGTAACTTGGCTTTTAATGTGGTGCTATCATGTATGAGGATTCTTGAAACCCTGGATACTCATACAGTTGTGGATACTATGATACAAAAAAAAAGTCTTATTAATGTTGCATGCACTAGTATAAATATTATAAAATACTTATTTCATCAAGACTCCAACAAAGATACTACTCCTGGATACAGTTGGAGTACTATAAAAAAATGAAATGATTGTTATCAATATTGTATAAGCTGTGACTTTGGCTTTTCACTTGGCACTATCAGTATTCTCCGTTTGCCAGCAAGCATTGGGCAATACAAGTTCCTTGTAAGATCAACACAATACTATTACAGTGAGTACAAAAATAAACATTCACCATCCAAAGAGCATTTCCTCTAATGTGAGTACCATTCAGGTTAATTATGTCCATATACTTATTTCCTCACAGGACAAGTCTTTCGAAAATGAAAAGGAGTAAAGAATAAATATCTAGCTAAGATGTGCTAGAGCTTTCTTAATGCTTGTGAATAAATGTAGTCTCACAACAAATAATCAGCCATTCATCAAAAAAACAAATAATCAGCCGAACATAGGCAATCATAACTGTATCCAATTCTAAAAAGGAGCTGGCCAGCCATTAGGCTTATAATTGGTTGCAAGCTCAGAAGTAAACAGACTCGAGTAGCTATGATACTAATTTCTTCCCTCAGAGTATGAAATCTAACGCTAATACTATAGAGTTGACGAGCATCCTAATTTATTGTTTCGATGGGCTTCGGAAATTACCTCACCTTGACGAGGGCGGTCCACAAGCGCCGCCGCACCTGGCCGCAAGGGGCTTCGCGGCGAGGAAGATCCAGGCGATGCTGCTTGACTGAGAGGTGGGAGCACGTCCGGGCGGCGAGGGAGATCCAGGGTATGGTCCTCAGCGGATTAGGGGAGCTCGGCGTCGGGCAGGTCGTGGCCACAGGCGGGCGTCGCTCGTCGATGCGCGCTGGTTCGGCGGGTAAGGCGCGGCAAGGCACGGACGGCGTGGGCGGCCAGGCGTGCTGGCCCCCGCTTGCGGATGCGGAGAGGGCAGCAGCGGTGGAGGACGACGACCTCGGAGCGGCGGCGGTCTGAATTTGGGCAGCCCTTCGGGTGGGTTTCGCCACCGAGGACGTATACGTTCATCCTAGGCCAGTTTCGTATGCATAAATAAATTTTAGAAATACCAAATGTGGTGAATATCCTTGCGGTGACCTACAAATACGTTGTTTCATAATGCATTAATGCCTGTTCGATGTTCATAGCTCATCATACAAACTGACCTAAGAGTATTAGTTCCAAGGGAGGGAGAAAATCAACGCAAAATAAACATGGACACTCGTGGGAAATACTTTTTCACTTGGATTTGTAGATTACTTTAGCTTTATCCTAAATTAAACTTCTCTAACATCTATACATAGTTAAACTGATTTCATTAAATCCTATCGATAGTGTATTTGTTTAGTATTATAGATGTTAATATATTTTTAACAAAATGTGGTAAAAGTCATTAACTAAATTAAAACAACACATAAATTCCAGGTGCTGCCACAGGGGTGCCTTCGAAGGTGCTGGCCACGGACATTGCTGGGGACTGGCATATGCATTTGAAAACAATTATCCGCGACGCCACCATGCAGAAGTAGAATGTCCGTTCATTACTTTGTTTTCAGCTCGTGGAGTTTTCACTTAAAAATTGTCCAACAATATGACAATAGTCATCGCGTCCTTTACAAGTAGATCATACAGTACATGATTGCAGATTCGACAGCACAAATAAAGGTCACAGGCTTTCTTTAGCGAGGGTAAACACGAGCAAATCACAGTAGCATATTCCAAAACCAACATTGAAACTGTCTCCAGAAAGCAGCTGATGATGGCTGTCCGCACAGTGATTTTTTTTTGAGCAACCTCACAGTGATTTTGTGAGAGGCAAAGCAACTGCAGCGACTGAAAAAATCAGCTACCGAACAGGCAAAAGACTTCTAAAGAAATCTTCTGCCTCTGAAATCTTCTGCTCTCACCGGTACATCTCGAGGCCGGAGGGAACAGATAAGACTGTCTCCAACAGCCCCAACCTAAATACACGCATTCAATCATTTAGGTCGCGAACGGCAAAAGGGTGTGTGACCCAAAACTTACCTTTTTCAACAGCAGACGCATCCTCCATCGCGAGCCCCGACTTCTGACTCTCATTTGCCCGGGCGCCACTCCCATGGAGCTCGCCCCCATCCCATTCTCCGGCGAGTCCGCCGCCCTAGGCACCCCAAATTCGGTGCCTCCCCATCGTCGTGCCCGGCCTCCACCCTCGCTGCTTCTCTCTGCCCTTGCGTCGGCAACCCCACGTCCTCGGCAAAGCGCCCCCCAGCCCGTCATCTCCAGCTCCGGCGGATCGACGGTCCCACAGTCCTCGCCCCCATGCTGGCTCAAGCTTCGGCGGCCCCATGGCAGCGACGGCGGTCGCCCCTCCACCTCCCCTCGCGGATCCACCGCAAGGCCCGTCCCCTTGGTCACCGATGGCGGCGGCCTCTGGGGGGCAGAACTGATGGCAGCGCCCGTCCTTCAACCATGATGGCGCCACCGCCATGGCTACACCTCCTCTCCTAGCGACGATGGGAACCTCCAGATTTGGGTCGAGGAGAGAGACGACAGGGAGAGGACACTAATTTGGGTTCCCTCTCTCCTACACAAAATAGGTGCTTCTTTTGCCTACTCTGTTGGACAGCCGCATTTTAGGTTTGGGTAGTGGTATGCCTAGGCTGTTGGAGACAGTAGAAGAAACAAAGGAAAACGAGGAACAACAGGAAGAGTGAAACCTTAAACTGGTAAATAAGGAGTAGGCTCCTGTAGGAGCTCACCATTGCCATATCTGTCCACGCCTCACCAGGCCTTCCGGAACTGGAAGCCAGGGACGATGGCCGTAAGAGGCATGGAAAAAATATAAACTGATGATTGATGAGGAGCAGCAGCTCAGCTGGCCATTGTTCTCCAACCATCCATGAACTGCTTTGCTGCTTACGCAACTCTCAAGAACCATGCAGACACCCCTGCCATGCTTCCTCCATGATCTGCATGGGGCAGAAGCAGCGGCGGATCCAGCTCATGAGGTTAGGAGGGGCTCTTTCTTCTTCTCCTACCTTCTTTCTTCTTCTCCTACCTTCCATCCCTTACCTTCTTCTTCATTCTTCCTAAAAAATCAAGGAGGGGCTAAGGGGGCTCCATTGTCTGAATGGCGGTAGGGGGGCTGAGCCCCGCCTCGCCCCACCGCTAGATCTGCCGCTGGGCAGAAGATTGCAGGGCAGGGAGGAGAGAATGCTTTTACCCGCCATGACGGACGGCGCCACCTGGGGTGCCTTCAAAGGTGCTGGCAACGGACAACGGACATTGCTGGGGATTGGCATATGCATTTGAAACAACAGATTCGTTCAAGGCTCTGAAGAAACAAACATAGAGTCGAGCAGCAAGCTTCTGGACCTACCAGGCTCTGAAGAAACAATGATTTGAGGAACAGCGGATTGGCATATTCGAGCCATAGCACATGGCTTCATAAAATGTGTATGATTTTTCCCGATCTAAAATCTATGCATAATGCAATTGAAAATAACGAGTATGGGTCTACAACTCTACAAAACAAGATGCAGAAATGATGCAGGAAGCCGGCCATATCGTGAAGTGAGAGGTCCAGGTGGTGGCTTCCTCCGGCGCTCACTGTCACCAATGAGGCATCGGCGGCGGCTAACGTTTCCCTTGGTCAAATTCAGGTAACTGGTGGAATCTGTGATTAAAGTGAACATAGTACAGACTTAGCAAATGAATTTACTGACCGAAGCAGGGTCACAGAGACAACCTATAGTAGGTCAACTACTAGTGCGCAGTCACCCAAAAATAATTGTTGGAAAAATAGGTAGCATCTATAAATCAGAGCATTTATAACGGAATAATGTCATGAACATAACATAATGAATAAGCAGTTATAATCTATAATCAGAAATGAGATCGCACAAGATGATTGGTTTTACATAACAAAAACTGATTAGGAACCACGGTAATCAAGACTCTGCTACTAGCTTACATCTTACTACCAACTTGCATTTGATGAACAAAAATACAAAGCAAACCAGATGTCATGTGAAAAGCTGCGTCGATACAAGCAGGGTGTGTGTTTTCTAATGCTCCTGAACTAACATTTTTACTGGAACTTGGAAGCATAAATTGTTGCACTAACATTTTTACTGGAAGTATATATTGTGACACACGGTCCATGATTAAATCCACAGATCAGGGCCCGTGAAAGAGATTTAAAAGGTTACCATGTGGGAACAGCACATAGATCCTTTGAAAAGTGATGTATTTAACTGTTTATATCAATGAAACAAGAGGTTTATGTACCAATGAACGGCCAGAACATCCTCTCTACCGGTGATGCAAAAGGCCACAGACAATGTAAGACCCCCCCCCCTTCTTTTTTTTTCTTCTCCAAAGAGTTCATCAAGATGCAACAAAGCAACATCATTTAGGACTGATATGCGCATGTAACCATACACTTGATGCAGATTCAAACTAAACAAAGTCAAGCAAAAGCAACATTATCAACCAACAAGCATGGACTATATGCGATCACAGATGAACCTAGAAATATTTTCAGCATCAGCACAGCTAATGTTTCCCTTGGTCAAATTCAGGTAACTGGTGGAATCTGTGATTAGAGTGAACATAGTACAGACCTAGCAGCAAGTGAATTTACTGATCAAAGCAGGGTCACTGAAACAACCTATAGTAGTAGGTCAACTACCAGTGCGCAGTCACCCAAAAAGACTTGTTGGGAAAATAGGTAGCATCTATAGATCAGACCATTTATAATGGAGCAATGTCCTGAACATAACAGAATAAATAAGAGCAGTTCTAATCTATAATCAGGTTGCACAAGATAATGAGTTTTGCATAACAAAAACTAAGGAACTAAGGATCAACAGCACTTATACCTTAATACCAACTTGGTCAATCATCCTGCTCGACCTTCACACTCTGAAGCTTCGAATCCAGCTCGTCCTCATTGTCCTCAGCATCCTCTTCTTCTTCCTCATCATCAGGCTCCCCGTCAGGTTCATTCTCATCTAGTGAGCCCAGAACATCCAGGGATTTCTTACCAGCCTTCAGAATTTCCTTCACCTCATCAATCCCTTCATCGGAGATGAAATTTCCATTGATGTTCAGTTGCACAAAAGCTGGTTTATTTGCGACTGCCCGCGCAAAGCACCGAGCTCCAACCCTCTGCAGCATGTTCGTGCTCACATCAAGTTCCTTGAGATCTGTGTGGCCATCTTCCAATGATTTTGCAATAATCACAGCACCGTCATCCTTCAGTTCATTTTCAGCCAAGGTCAGCTTCTTCAGTGACTGCATTGCCATTAGGCATTCTGCCAAATCTGGGGCTGCTCTGGCACTGATTTCATTTCCTGCCATTTCAAGGACCTCCAACTGTGGTGCTGACTGTTTGAGGGCATTGGCAATTGCTTTTGTACCCTCGTTCTCAAGATTGAGATCACTGAGATAAAGCTCGACAAGATCAGGAAGCTTTGGAAGGGTTTCGCTGAGAGCTAACCCCGCATCAACACCAAACAAGTTGTCCCTGATATCAAGTTTCTTCAGACGAGTGCATCTCCCTAATGCCTCAGACAATGCGACTCCACCATCAGATCCGATCCTTGTTGCTGAGCACCTGAAACTCTCTACATTTGGGGAACACTTAACCATCTCAGCGATATACATAGCACCTTCATCTCCAGTCATATTGTTGTGGAATTGAAGAACCTTGAGCTTGTCAGTTGCAGGAATAAGCTCAGATAGAGCTTTTGCAGCTTCCTCTGATATGCCATCATTCATCACATAGAGTTCTTCCAGGGATTCCTGTGATTTCAGGAGCTCACTGAATGCCCTGACACCCTTCTCACCCAAAGCATTGTCAGATATATTCAGATATCTCAGGACAGAACCCTCTAATGCTTTGGAGAATATGCGCATCACATCAAGTGCTTCATCCTCAGGCCTTCCTGCCACAAAATCTGAGATATCAACCTCTGTGAGCTGATTCTTAACTGCCTCAAGAATTGGCCCTGCAACATTAGCAGCACCAATACCAAAGCTCCTGTTGCTAAAGCAAATTCTTTTATACTGAATTTCCTGGTTTGGTGAGTGGACTCAGCAGTTCCTTTGCTTCATCTGCCTCAATAAAAGCACGCTTGCCGCCAGATATATCCAGTACAGTATCAGCAGGCACAAGAGGTGCATCAGCAGGCACAGGAGGTGTATCAGCTACAGGTGCCTCCAGTTCTGCAGTAGTCCTTGGGCCTTTTTTCAGAACTTCCAACATCATCTTGCTCGTTTCCTTTGCATATAGCTGGACAGCAGAACTCCCATCACCATCTGGCTCCCTTTTGAAATGCTCATCAGCTGAGGCAAAGCAAAGTTCTTCAATCCTTTTTGCATTCTCATGAGCCTCTTGCTTGCCCAAAAGGCCATACTTGCGAGAGAAAATTGTCTCTGTGGACAGATTCTTTGTCATCCTCTCAACAAGCATGAGCCGTGTGCTTTCACTTGGCGGCCACAACTTTATAGAGAATGTCCTGGGTTGGAAATCTTGTGTTGAATCCATGTGACAAGCCTGGACTTAACACAGCAACCTGTAATAGCAGAACATGACTTACTAGCCTTGCTTTGATAACATAAGATATCGCAGTAACAAAAAAAAAAAAAAACGAAGTTAGCAGATAGAATACATGTATACACTTCTATTTGATCAGATCCGGAGACAAATGGCTCAAGTTAGGGTTTGGGTGCTCCAGCTTCGCCCAGCAGGAATGGAAGAGAAAGGGTGGGCGTACCTGGCGGAGCTTGTCGGCGGCGAAGGGCAGGAGAAGACCTGGCGAGGGACCGATGGAGACCTGGGCACCTTGGACAGCGGCAGCGGCCGCCCAGTCGTCGCCACGAGATGGAGGGAGAAAGCGTGCACAGGGCGAGTGCTGTTTGGAATTAGGATCCCGTGCGAGACGCCGAGACCACCCGTGTGGCTGTGGCCGCCGCCGCTGTGGGGTGTATTGCTAGGTTTAGGTTTGGAGTATGTACGTGGGCTTAGTTGGGCCGGACACTCGGGGCCATACGGGATGGGCTGCAGCTCACCGGGCATATACGAAAGATAAAAGGGTCCATTCTACCTCACCTCGCTTTCTTTTCAAACTTTCAAAACCACGAATCATATTTCTGAACCGTCAAAACCATTTGGATTATATAATAAGATAAAAAAGACCATTTGGATTATCTCCGTATCCTAGGTTCAGGTGGTTCTGAAAGCAATTTCATCACTTTTTATTTAATATAAAAATCCAGTTTATATATATTATATAAGATTTTTAAATCACAAAAATATCTCTAAGCTTCTATAAAGTCCAGAAAAAATCCTGGAGATAAGTTAGGGCACGATAACCTTAAATAAAATATTTATAGATCATGAAAATATCTCTTAAAGCTTCAAAAATATATGTATAACTAGAAAATAAGAAAATACCTAAAATATTTTGAAAATCCCCCCCCCCCCAAACATTATAATCGATGTTTATACATGTTTCGAAAAAACTTTGCATGGCAAAATATGAGATGCAGCTAGCATGAATGCACATTGATGACAGATGCATTTGTGCTGGCTGTGTCTTACGTTTTTGTTGTGAAACATTTTCAAAACACGTTTAGACAACAATTATAATGTTTTGAGAATTTAAAAAATCTAGATATTTTCTCATTTTTCTAGAGATAGATCTAATTTTTGGAAGCTTCTAGAGATACTATGACGATCTTTAAATATTATATTTGAATTTTTTGTTTCCTAATCCGTCTCTAGGATTTTTATTGAAACTTTTAGAATCTTAGACATTTTTATAGTTTAAAAACTTTATCATATATTTATCTGATTTTCAACTAGACAAAGGAAGAAACCACCTTCAAAACCACTTCAAAACCATACAAAGGATATAATTTAAATAATTTTGAGAGTTTTGGAAGTAAGATGTTTGGTTTTGAAATTCTAGGAGAAAAATCGGGCCCCGTTGATAGTTCGAGGAGATAAAAGCGCCTTTTTCTAAGTCCTTTTATCCTCTCAATTATCCATGGAGCACAGCTTTACTTAGTGTATAAAATCAGATTTTGATCTACATGAATTTTAAAATTGTTCTTTTTTAATCTGGGTGGTTTAGATGGGAGTTTTGTTTGATATGGCACCAAGTCTGGGAGGACTAAATCGGACTATGTATGGTTGTGGTTATGCAGGTGTTGGTGATGCTTATGGTATTTTAGTTTCGGATGGCTAGTGTTGGGCATGTCTAAGTCTCTCTTAAAGATCGGTTTGTGGAGTGACTACCTAGAAAAACAGTACAACCAGATTTACATGGGTTATGAAATTGGCTTCTAAATTAGAGGAGTCTAGTGGAGTGATACAGGATGGACCCGGTGAGAGATTTTCCATATCAAGTACGACTCAGTGGCGGCCCCTAGATGTTTATGTAGGCTAGGTGGAGCTCTAGAGTGGTAGCACACACTAGATCAACCTTGCAAAGATATTCACCGCGTTCGGCTGTTACAGATAGGCACTGTTGCACGGTTGATTTTGGATGATTGAATAGTATTATGTGAGAGAGAATAAGCTGAATTTGGATGATTGTAGTAAAACTCAGACATACCTTGGGAAGTGTGACATATGAGTAATTAACCATGGCATACAAGAATCATGTGCTATGGGTAGAGACGTTTTGTATAATGTCTAAAATTGATATATCACGAGATAAAAAAAAATTGATATATCACCATGCTCACGCCCGAGAGTGGCCTAGGTACGACACGTACTCATTCCCCCACTCATTCGGTTAGTAAAAGTAAAATCTGCTCAAAAGATGGAGATGATGTGGTGTGTCTAAAAGACTGCCAGGAGCGCTTAGCCTATGTGTTTCTAGGCAACCTTCCCATGAATTGTTGTACGAACCGCTGCTATTTGTGATTAAGAACTTTTTTTACTATGGTTGAGGAGACGTCAGGAAGCGTTAGATGTGTCTATGATTGCTGGGCCCATATGAGGGAAGACGTTGAGAGGCGTCAATGAGGGAGACGTCGGGAGGCGTTAGATATGTCTATGGTCGTTGGGTCCATATGCGCCATAACGTCTCCCAACGCCTGAGGATTATGACTTCAAATAAAAGAGTGGCAATTCCTTTTTGTAGTTAATTTTTTTAATCAATGGTAAAACGGTAAATCCACAATTGTAAAAATAATGTTTTGAGTAGTATAGTTGGGATGTATGATTTAAGTACTATAGTTAGATGAATATTTGCTTTTAAAAAAAGATGAATATTTTCATCTTGTTAGGGTTCATTCGCCGCCGTCTCTGTATTCTCCGTCTCTGTGCCGCCGCCGCCGTCCATCGTCATTGATCTGTCCACGGGAGGACCTCGACGCATTGCGCCGCTCCTGCATCGTCTCCATCGAGATACGAGCCCGCCCCCTTCTCACCACCCCTCAGCTCCCCAACCGAGCACGCGGAGGCCGCGGCGACGATTGCGCTCCCGCTCACGGCGGTGGCGGCCGTCCCCGCTGCCCAGGGGGTGCGGTTGGCGAGGTGCGCGCGTCCACAGACACGACGGTCCGTGGTGGTGAAGCTGGAGGGCGGGCTCGGCAAGCCGGTGCCCACCATCGGCTGTCGCGCCTGCTACGAGTACGAGCACCGCGATGGCTGCTCGCGTGTGGCGGGCGACGAGGAGGAGGACGGTGTCGATGACCTGGAGGGCGAGTTCGGCCTGCAGGACGACGGTGCAAGGCAAGTTGGAGGCACCAGGGACGCAAGCACATTCGCTCAATCGCTCGCATAGCATCTCAGGAGCTCGGCAGTGGCACTCCAATCCAACTCACGGCGGCGCTCCAATGCTCCAGGCCGGCAGGCCATGCTCCTTGCCTCCCCTCTCCGGCTACCCATCCCTAGCCCCTAGCTCCCTACGCCGGCGGCTAGCGAGCGACGGCGGGCGGCCGAGGAGCGAGGACGCCAGCACCAAGCAGGCAGCAGAAGATGGATGGGAGAGGAGATGAAGCGATTGGGGGAAGAGATGAAGGGGAGCCGGCGATGCGTCTAGCACGGCGAGGAGGTCGGCAGCTCCAAGTCCATTGAGCCAGAAGCAGTATAAGAAAATAGGTGCTGCCCTTAATCCATTATCCATCACAAATTGTTAGTCAAATAAATGGATAAAGATTGAACTCTAACCAGTGAAATCAATTCAATGGTTAATTGGTTTTGCAAATTTGAAAAACTTTTTTCCTAGTACAAATTCCGTAAGTGATTGGTTACAACAGTATGATTGGTTGAAATATAGTGTGGCTAAGGATGCATCATTTTGCTTCTATTGCTTTCTTTTTAAGCAAAAGCCCTTAGAAACACATTTTGGTCATGATGCATTCAGTAAAGAGGGGTATAGTAATTGGATTACAATATAGATAGGGTATACATACATAGTTAGACTGGTATATCGGTCAAGTTTTGTATCTGTACGTAGCAATCCGCCCTAGCTCATATTTTCGGCTGGGTCCGCCATTGCTCAGGGCGCGGATGAGCTCATATTCTCGACGGAGACGATGCAGGAGCGTCGCAATGCGTCGAGGTCATCCCGTGGACAGATCAACGGCGGCGGACGGCGGCGGCACAGAGACGGAGAATACAGAGACGGCGACGAATCAACCCTAACAAGATGAAAATATTCATCTTTTTTTAAAAGCAAATATTCATCTAACTATAGTACTTAAATCATACATCCCAACTATACTGCTCAAAACATTATTGTTACAATTGTGGATTTACCGTTTTACCCTTGATTAAAAAAATTAACTACAAAAATGAATTGTCACTCTTTTATTTGAAGTCATAATCCTCAAGCGTTGGGAGGCGTTACGGCGTATATGGGCCCACCGACCATAGACACATCTAACGCCTCCCGACGTCTCCCTCATTGACGCCTCTCAACGCCTTCCCTCATATGGGCCCAGCAATCATAGACACATTTAATGTTTCCTGACGCATCCCCGACCATAGGAAAAAAGTTCTTATTTATGATATCATTGTACAGATGGAATTCATCTTAGCACACATACGATGTACACTTGATTTTATTCTCAAGGACGGATGTGACAGCTTTTTTAGTCTGACGCATGAAGAGCTGTCCTCTCTTTCATCTATATTCCTTCCGTCTACTTCTCCCCAAACTGAAGTTCATGATAAACTGCATCCACAAATTTATTTGCTAGCTTATTTAGACTGAATTCGGAAAGAAAGTTCATGGATAAATTGAAAATGCCTCTATAAATTTATTTGTTAACTTATTTATGCCCCCTCCGGAATGTAGAAAATTATTGTGTAAATCCTGCACAAACTCATGTGTTTCAAAGGGCCGTCAGACTGATTTAGAAGGCACACAAGTTTTACTGTTAATACCACATGGCGTGCAGCCTTTTGGAGCTCAGAGTTGCTTGGCCGACCTGGGCTTGATATAGCATATCTGTGGCACCACTCACCCAGAGCTGTCGTTTCAGGTTATTTCTCTGTGTGTGTGAATTTTCACTCGTCCAGCAGCTGGTCGGTTCTCCAGCTTCGGAATAATGCGGCGTCACGTCTCACAGCGGAGTGGCTAGACTTTTTTTTTTTCTTCTGAAAACATGAATGTTCCAAGAAAATTTTCGTTCTTAACATTAATGATGATGCATTCGATAAAAAAAAACACATTCCAGGAAAACTTGCGACATCTTTTCCCCTAAATTATCCATAGGTGCCTCTCGTATGCGGTACTACCATCAAGCAGTATGTATATAGATATACACTGTTGCAACTTGCTAGGGAAAATCAAAATCATTTCGCGCAGAGTGCACTCGGTGTATGCAGTGCCAGCATTCCCCAGCAGCATTTCAGGCTTCAGAAACCATAAATTTCTGACGACCTGATAAGGTGTTATTAGGATTCAGGACATCTGGACATGCCTGCGTAAATTTCTGAGGACCTGATCAGGATCCAGGACACCATGCAGAAGTAGAATGTCCGTCCATTACTTTGTTTTCAGCTCGTGGAGTTTTCACTTAAAAATTATCCAACAATATGACAACGGTCACTGCGTCCTTTAGATCAAACACGATTGCAGATTCGACAGCACAAATAAAGGTCTCACAAGCTATCTTTACGAGGGTAAACACGAGCAAATCACAGTAGCATATTCCAAAACCACAACATTGAAACTGTCTCCACAAAGCAAAGACTTCTACTGAAATCTTCTGCTCTCACCGGCGCAGCTCTAGGGCAAGAGGAGACAGATAAGAAGAAACGAAGGAAGACGAGCAACAACAGGTAGAGGGAAACCTTATAAACTGGTAAATAAGGAGTAGGCTCCTGCAGGAGCTCACCATTGCCGATCTCTGACTTGCCGGTCTCTGTCCACGCCTCACCGGGCCTTCCGGGACTGGGAGCCAGGGAAGACGGCCATAAGAGGCATGGACAAATACAAACTGATGATTGATGAGGAGCAGCAGCAGCTCAGCTGGCCATTGTCCTCCAACCATCCATGCACTGCTTTGCTGCTTACGCAACTCTCAAGAACCATGCAGACACTCCTGCCAAGCTTCCTCCATGATCTGCAGGGGGGCAGAAGATTGCAGTAGAGGGAGGAGAGGATGCTTTACCTGCCTGCAGCCGGCAGGTGTTGATGCAGCAAAGGCTCTTGTGAGAACCAAGAAGAACTTGCACGGTGGCATTTTAAAGAGGCTAGTGGTGGTGTGCTTTAATGGAAAAAAAAAGAATAACGATGAAAGCTTACTGTATGGGGCGCGTACGTGGCATTGTCTGGAAATCCCTATCCATGCTATTCTTGTCTCACCAGACATCAATTCTGCAGCTATTCCTTTTGCTGACAATTCTCCATTCCTATCCTTGTTTGGGGGAGAGTAATTTGTACTGAAGGTAAATGTACTAAATCCAGCGACCCACCCAAGGCATTCATGCTGGTAAAACCTAAGACAACCTCTATACTAATATCATTAACCTTTTTATAAGTAATAATTTGGTGTCAGCTTTTGACTATTTGCCATGCTTGCTGCCAAAATTTGGAAGCCAAATGTCCTTTCTTGCTACCCAATTGCTTAGCAATTAAGTTTCTAACAATCAACCTAAAGGCCAAACCCCAACTAACCAATCTTTACCAACAAACTGAGGTTACTCAGATTTTACCAAAGAGACCAAATCTACAGATCCACGATGTAGAAAATAAAGATACCTTTTACAGAAGGGGAAATTGGCCGGCGAACACCCACAGTGGTGGTCGCGGACACCAAAGTGGAGTTATTTGCTAGAATTATGCCAGAGAACAGCACGGGCCAGTTTTCACCGGTCGAGAAGAGAGAAAAATCCAACCGACCCGAGCCTGGCCTGGTTAACCGGCCCCTGCGCTGGACGAAGCGCCGCCGCCGCCTGCTCTGTGGCCCTGCCATGGCTGCCGGCAAATATCTCCCCGGCCAGAGCACGTGAAGAACGCCAGCCCAACACTGCCTTCGACCCAGCAAGGCCGCGACGCGTGGACGCCGCGTCTGCGTCGTCTTCCTCCTTGCGCACGTGAAGCAAGACCACCGCTTCATCTCTCGTTGCTGTACCCGCTGGCCGCTGCCATGTCCCATCGAGCTCACCAGGCGCTAGCTCAAGCACGGCGCGTGCGCCACGAAGACGCTGCGGCACTGCCATGGATACCGGCAAAAATCTTCTTGGCCGGAAAAATCCAAGCACCGCCACCGACTTACTGTGCTCCCTCGCGGGCTATAAAAGCCGGCGAACTCCACCATTGGTGCCCGCTCACCAAGCTCAAGCTCCCTGGATGCCTGGCTTCCAAAGCACGAGCACCCGCACAGGCAAGCTGACCGCCGAGGTCGCCGTTCGGCTGGCCGCCGCTCGACATCACGCTCTGGCTCTGGCCCCCTCTGTTCGCCCCTCCCCTTCGCATCTGTTGGGGCCGCCGCAGCGCCGAAGCCGCCGCCGCCGGAGCTGCGTCGCACTGACCCGCGACGTCGCCTCGGCCCTCGCTGCGAGCCACAGCCGTCGGAGCCGTGCCTCCTCTCGCCCAGTTGCCGGAGCCGAATGCCACCAGTACCGCCGCCCTGCGCCTGCCTTGCTCCGTCGCCCAGCCAAGCCTCCTCCTCATCCTTGCTCTCCCTGCCCGCCGTACTCTGCTCTCCCGCTCTCTCCATTCCGGCATGCTCAGCCTCGGCCCGCACCGCGTCGGGCCACGGAGCTCCCCACGCCAGAGTCGAACACAGCGGGAGCCGAACTCCTCACCGCCTGTCGAGGAAGCTGCCGGAGCCGCGCTCGCCTCTGCCCACCGCCGCCGCCCTACTCTGCTCGCTCGTTTGCGACCGCACGGAAAGGGAATGGGTGGGCCAGGGTGGCGCCCACGCGACGGCATCCAAAGCCGAGCACCCGTCCACGTCACCCAGGCCAATGAGCCGGTGACACTTCATCTCGCGGGACCCACACGGAAGTGCCTCCACCTCTTCCATCTGTGGACGCAGTTCGCATGAACCAAGAGTGGGAGCGCGTAGTCCATAGCATAGTGCAATAGCTGGTTCACGGAATAGTGCAGCAGGCCGAACCCACCAGCCCTGGCCTACGCGTCATCCTCTAGACCAGAAGGTAAAACGCTAGGTGCACCAGGCAGGCGGGACGGGCTGGTTAACGAGACGAAGCTCGGGTCGGTTTGTTAGCTGGTTCAACCAGATCCAAACGTGGCTCCGGGGCACCGGATGTCTAAACTGAATTTTTCTCTCTCCTCAACCGATGAAAATCGGCCTGCGGTGTCCTCTGGCATAATTACAACAAACCAAAGTGTTTTCTAGCATACAGCTCCACTTTAGATGTCCGTTAGCAAACGACCACCACTGTGGGTGTCCGCTAGCCAATTTCCCCTTTACAAAAAGGTATCTTGGCAATCTCCTCTTTTGAGATGCACTTTTTGGAACAGGGAGATTGAGGAGTGTGGCCTTCCTGTTTTGCCACTACTTCAGTACTTCGTGCTTATCAACCTCTGCATCCCTCAATTCTTCAGTGCAAGTGAAAAAATAACTTCCATGAATCTAGTTGAATTAGTTCTTCATGATATTGTCGCAGGGCCATAAAAGGCAACAAAGTGAGAAAAATACCATGTAAAAAAATACTGTTTTCAGTCTGCAACAAATAATGATTCAGAGTTCAGAGGGAATATACCATGCATTTTTGGTGGAAACTGCACCACAAAAAAGGAGAGAAAATCAATACGGCCAAAGTGCAGTGGACCCCTCCAATGGAATTCCTGAATACCCTTTTCCTCCTTCAAACGGGTGGAATGGTGGAGGAGCCATGGAGGTGGTGAGCCTGCCTGTTGCCAGTGCTCCTAAATCATCGCCATCATGGACACTAGCCAGAGAAGCACCACCAATAATAGGTCCCTTTCGACCTGACGTGTCCCACGACCAAGCATCAACATGCACAGGCATCAAGAATTTTCCAATTGATGGCCTCCACTTCTGACTGTGTGTACTGAATGATTTTTGTCCTTAGCATCCAAAACAGCAACAAAAAAGAAAACAAAAGGCTTCCTAGAATAGAACCCTAATAGGGCCCAAAGATCACTCAAGTTGGAAAATAGCCTCTTCGTCAGCTCCACAAGCATCAGTATTTTCCAATTTGTTCATCTTGTAATGGACCAAGCCAATTTTTGTTTACAAAGCAACTGAATGATCCATGAAGCAATTGCGAGCTTCCATTCCCATTCAAAAATTTATGTTGCTATCAGTCTTCAGACTAATATAAAGTAAACAACACTCAAAAGGTACATGATTGCCCCACCAGAAATAAATGGTTTGTTCTTTCTAGCATGTGCAGGGTGCACGATTGAGTAGTACATATGTCACTCATCTGACACATTAATAGCTTTTAGTCACGAAACAAAATTGTACCTTTCATCCCCAACAGTAACCAGTGTCGGGCTAACGATTACATATAGTTGGTATACAGAGGACGTGATTAGTGTAAGGAAATACTGTGTACAAGGGTTTGGTGCAGAAGATGGTTCAGCAACTGACAAGAAAAAGATTATTGGTAGTTTGGGGCAACCAGCTGTTCTTTGCACAGAAAATGTCCTTATCATATTTGAGTGCCATAATGTTACTCCACAGTGCCTATATTTAATCCCCTTGAATTAGCTCTCGACCGAACCCAACTGATCACTGTCTATATTTACTCCCCTTGAGTTAGTTCTGGACCCAATAGATTAGTGACAGTAGCGATATCCAACAAGCAAACAATCTGTTTTATCTAAAAAAAATGAACAAAAATCCGAATCAGTGTTTGTTTCAGACTTTCAATCTCATTTAATCTTAGAGTTACTTTTTGTGTACTTTTTATTCAAACACAGCAGTACAACTGTCTGCCATTAGATTAAAGAAGATGAACGCTTGCCCACGCAAACCCCATGTGGAACACACTGCACACCCCAATACAGAGACACCACCAAATCGAACACTAAAACACATCCAGCAAGGCCCGGGTTCATGAGCTGATTCCTCGTGGCATTCCATGTGTCTGCGCACTCCCCTCAATTTGGGGAGAGTGGAGGAGAGGCAGTCTTCAGCCAGTGGTCGCAATGTGTCTGCGCACTCCCCTCAAATTGGGGAGAGTGGAGAAGCGGCAGTCTTCAGCCGGTGGTGGTTCTACCCTCTGTACACGCCAGAAGGGTCGGCGTTCTGGACGATCCATGGGTGCTCAAGAACCTTGTGGAGTGGCAGCCGCTGCGCTGAGTTCTTGACCAGCATCTGTGTACAACAATTTATGAGGTTCTGAATCTGAACAGCCATTTTCTTTACGAGACAAGGGAAAAACTGAAGACTTCTTACCTGAGAAATCAAATCCTTCGCGGCAGGTGAAACGAATGGTTCCAGTGGGAACTTCAAGTCGACTTTCACTATCCTGTATCCAAGTAAAAACGACAGATTCAGAAACAGCAGTTGCTCTCTGTGTTTCACAACCACAAGGATAGATATTCACTATGCTATACATATATACTAATGATAGATAGAAAGAAATCATGGATCTAAAACATGTGGAGCTATGGTGATCAATATAGTGCTTCCTCTTTGCTACACTAGCACTATATGCAAGTTCAAAAGTTTCCTCACCAATTATCGGAGCATAGCTCAAAAGTCGCAAGAAATAATCTAGAACTCACATGGGAAAATTAGGGACAAAATCGCTGCATACTAAGATCCCATAGTTGCTTTTAGAAACAGCAGTTGTTTTCAAAGCCGCAAACAAGCAAGTCAAAGACTCGAGTTTCACAACCACAAGGATAGATATTCACTATGCTATTACGTATATACTAATGATAGATAGAAAAAATCATGGATCTAAAAACATGTGGAGCTATGGTGATCAATATAGTGCATTCTCTTTGCTACACTAGCACTGTATGCAAGTTCTAAAGTCTCCTCACAATTATCAGAGCATAGCTCAGAATCACAAGAAATAATCTAGAACTCACATGAGCAAATTAGGGACAAAATTGCCGCATACTAAGATCCCAGAGTTGTAGAGTTACCTTCTGTATGTTTCTGAGTGCTCCTTAGCTTCGAAAGGTGGGACCCCGTAAAGGAATTCATAGCACAGAATACCCAAGCTCCATATGTCTACATGGTAATCATGTTCTGTCTTCTCCACTGGACAAATCACAACAGGATTCAGAGCCAAGGAAAGCAGATAGGCCAATAGAGAGCTAGAACAGCTGTGGGAATTTTCAAGAACTAGAGGATAACTGGAGGAAAATGGTTAGCAAAGTACCCATTTCAGGTGGCAGGTAATCCAGAGTTCCGCACATAGTCCGTCTTCTGTTGAAGGTGTGCACGGACCAGCCAAAGTCGGCGATTTTGATCTCGCCCTGTTCCAAGGAAACATACAACAATGTAAGTAAGCATTGAGTTCCAATCTTCCAGATCAGGGATACCAAAAAAACACAATGCAAGTACCTGGGCTCCAACCAAAAGATTTTCTGGTTTAATGTCCCGGTGGATGACATGCTTCCCATGAAGGTAGATCAGAGCTCTAGCCAATGATGCAATATACTAATAATAAAAGGAAATCTCCATTACTAGTTTGGTGAAAAATGAGCTGCAGATAAATTCACCAAGTACATGTACAAAGCATCAACTCACAGTTGCTGAACGTCTCTCAGAAAAATGTTTGCACCTTGTCAGTTCCTTGTACAGTTCACCCTTGGCAGCATATTCCAGGATTAGGTAAACCCGGCTCTGAGAATTCCACATGACAGAGAAATGATGATGTCTCTTGCCATATAAATGAAGCAATGGTAACTCTATATTAGAAATGTGGATATGTTTTTACCTGATCATAGAAGTACCCATACAGGCGAAGAATATTAGGATGGCGAAGATGACTCTGAATCTCCACTTCGCGTCGCAGCTGATGCTCGACCTGTGATTGCTTGAGTTGGCTCTTGAAAAGCACTTTCAGAGCCACAATTTGACTGCTCTGTTTCCACAAAAAGACGTACTGTAAGCCCTAGTTGCTCACTAGGATGATTAACTAAAAAGCATAAACAGAAAACACTCTGTAAGATGTTTCCAGCGTTGTCATTTAACATGTTTAGTAGTATATTTGCTGACTATAGCATTAGTTACAGTAGTATAGTTGCTGACTGTACAATAATATAAAAAAGTTCAGTTAGTAGATACGAAACAGGGTACAATACTGAATTAATCAAATCCCAGCAATCTCGGTGCAGTAACCATTCAGCTAAGCTAGAGACTAAAAATAATCAGTGCAATATTTGCTGACAATTAACATTAGTTACAGTAGTATATTTGCTGAGTATACCATAATAATTTAGTAAGTACAGACATTGTACAATACTGAAGTAGTCTATTCCCAGCAATCACAGTACAGTAAATCATTCAGTGAAGTTATAGACTAAAAATAAGCAGTTCAACTAACCAAAAGAAAGCTTAAACATGTTATTTACCCTCTCTTCTCAGGCCAGATAAACAATGCCAAACTTGCGCTGCTCACTAGGATGATTAACTAAAGCATAAACGGAAAAAAAACACTCTATAAGACGTTTCCAGCGTTGTCATTCAACATGTTTATTGTTAGTTACAGTAGTATATTTGCTGACTATAGCATTAGTTACAGTAGTATTGTTGCT